AAAAGCAAAACTTTGAAAAACCTCCTACATATAGCAGCATATTTTGCTTCCTGATAGAAATTCTGCCCAGTCATATAGTCTGTCCCAGAACATGAGACAGAATTCCTATGTATGTGGTCCCATAGTTTGCTCTTGTTGCTGTTGTTATTCTTGCTGAAAGTAATTCTAAAGTAAACTGGTTTAAAAAATCTTTCGAAAACCTTCTATGCAGATAAAGAGTGTTATTCAATGGCCATACTGCAAAGAATTACAAAATCTCATGGAAAGGTTTCTGAGAAGGTTCACAGTTCTTAGAGTGTTGTGAAGTACTGCACAACATGGTGTGACATACTGAACACATGTATAGATCCACAAAGCACATTGATACCTGCTTAAAATACCCATTAAAGGGGCAGAAACAGGAAGAAGACAGGGGTAAGCAAAAAAAAAAAAGAGATCTGGAGCTGTGCAAGCGGATAGCAGAAAAGCTAAATTTGGGACTGAATAATATCTTACTAGATCATTAAAATTTTACAAACAAGGTGAGTATTCACATTCTCCAGAACTTTTCTTCAGGCTTACGTTGGCTGAAATCCAGTAGAAAGTTGCAACTGGAGTACGCTTATAAAATGATTTAATGGGCCTACTCTATTTGTGACTTGCTACTGGATTTCATCCATTGTACTGTATAATTTTTTTGAGTGTGCGTGTGTGGGGGGTGGAATGCAGAGAAGCAAAAGATTTTTTAAAAAAACCTGTCTGGATATAATGGCTTCTATCTTTGCAGGCAGTCAGGCCTGCAAAATGGAGGTTACAGATTTAGTGAAAGACAAAAATGTGACTTTACTGCCACTCTCTTTTTGTAGACAAAAGCCTGGCTGTGGCCCATACAGATTTCTCCACTGCCTTGAACAAAGCCAATATCCTTGCCTTAGAACAAAAAAATGTGAAGCAACATGGTGAACCTTGTATCAGCAAAGAAGAAAAAAGAAAAGAGGGATCAAGTTTCAGTTTTACATTTGGCCAAAAATGAACACTAATCACACTTATAGCAGCAGCCCGCCCATGATTTCTTCCTTAACTCTCTTGACCCCATGAACTGAGGTAGTACATGAGCCATCTCCTTATCAAAATGTTGACAGGCAGGTTAAATCCCTCTTTGTGCCCTTTTGTTGTTGTTGTTGAACTTGAGCCATACAGAGAAAAGACTAGATTAGGCAGTGAGAAAGAAAGCGCCTGTCTGCACTGTGAGGATGCCTGGATAATCAATGCATGGGGTGTTCAACACCAACATAAGCTGCATCCTCTGGGAGATAGTTATGGATTAGTTCAAACCCACTTCTAGACTGGGTGACTCACAAGCAAATGATGCTAGTATTGCTCACATTGATGACCATCACAAATGATGGAGTTACATCCATGAATACTGACAGTAACCTTGTTCATTGGCCCATACCAACATTATTTGCAATTTTTCAGGTGCACAAAGGATTTCTAACATTTCCTTGAGGACCTTGATGGTCTCAGAATTGTAAATATGAGGCTAATACTACGCATATGAATGGATCAAGGGCCTTTTAACACATTTGCTTTACTCAAGGATATCTGTCCTCTTTCATGACTAGTTTAGGGCAATAAAAGTGAGAGGAGAAGAACTTGTTCAGTCTAAGAAGTGCTTGTAACTGAAGCAAGGAACACTAAAAGAAGCTCATAAAACGAGCTTCACCTTTGTTTTAATCTGTGTCTTCTTTTTCACGGAGCAGCCAAATATAAATAACCCCTTAATAAAGTAGTGATCTTGATTATTAAGAAGCAGGAAAGAGAGGTATGTGTTGAAGTTTCCATGCAGGAATGTCAGCCAGAAAGTATGCAGATGTGAAATGCAGTTTTGAAGAACCTCATAAAATGGAAGGGAGCCTAGTATTCATGTGTGCAGGTGTGAAGGTTATATATTCCTGCTTTGCACATAGATAGCCAATATGTCAGGACTACAGAGAGATGAGAATTCATTTCTATTTGCTTTTACCCCATGTACAGTACATGGTTCAGAACTGAACAAATACTTGAATGAAATCTGTAGGCTGTAATCCATATTTTCCTAGGTTTCCAGTCCAATTCATACAACAAGAAGTGTTTGAAAAATATATGAATTTGGGTAATGTATGTGGAAAGAATTGAGTGTTTGAAAAATACACTCCCACCCCCCAAGGCAGAAGTTGTACAAATTTTAAAATGTGCACAATTAATGTCTAAATTCTGAAAAAAAGACATTATTTTAAATCTTGGGTTTTACAAACTGGGCATTAAACCTTGTTGCTTTCTTGAATGTCTATTTTTCTATGTGCATGGACTTGGAGGCTGTGGGTGGGAAGGAATAATATTCAAGCACACAAGTTTCTTACTACCTGCAGCCAGAATTAGTATAGTCCAAGATAATGTTAACTATTAGTCTGCTGATTGTAGAAAGCAAAATGTAGACATAATATTTTGAAACATTAGGCTCTATGAAAGAAAAGAAAAGAAAAAAGAGCAAGTCAGGGCATATCCTTTTGGTCAGGTGCATGGTGAAGTGACATTTCTTCTTATGCCAGCTTTCCACCGTTTATCCAAAGTACCAGAAGAACATGCCACTCACCAAACACACTTTACAAACTGTATACCCTGATTCATGCTTGGAATATGTTGCTTAGCTCTGTGGACTTTTCAGTTTGGAATTCCACAGGGGTTGAACGTACACCTCATGCTATTCCACAAATGAAATCACCGAGTCCACAAATGTATAGGTTGATGGCATGAATCTATTTGTCATCTTCAGCCTTTGAGGCACTGGATGTGTCAAACCAGTACCTGTTTATAACAATGGCCAACAATGATGACCAACACACTGAGCCACAATCCATGCAAGAGTGAGAAGCCATAGGTATGTTGCTCTTCTGAGCAGGTCATTTAAAGTAGAGGAGGCCTCAGTGGTGTGGAGCATCTCCTACAAGCCATGTTCATAACTGAACAGGGATAAATTAACTTCAGTGTCCTATGCTTCGGTGATATCTTGGTTAGATTACTGCAGAGTATTTTACATGGCCCTGCCTTTCAAAATGATTTAGAAAATGCAGCTAATACAGAATGCAGTGGCCAGATTAATCATAGGGATGAGAAGGATTTATTACTTCGTACTAGTGTACTATTTGGCTAGGCTACAGATATGATTCTAAACAGAATTCAAAGTGGTATTAATCTATGCACACCTTGGAAGTTAATATAAATATTATTGAACATGTTTCCTGTTGTGAATGTGTCCATCATCTGAGGCCTTCCTCTGAGAGGAATTGCAGCCTATGCGTGTGGAATTCCTTCCCCTTCCTCTGAGAGGGTGGGGACTGGTAGAGAGCCTTTTCAATTGCAGCCTATGCGTGTGGAATTCCTTCTCCAGGGCAGTCTGCCTAGCACCAAGATTATAATTTGTAAGCTTAAACACTTGATGGGATGGGACAGACCATTTTTAAATACTAGCCTCACACCAACAAATTATGTCTCAATGTTTTTACCTTCTGGAAATGTGCTGTTTTCTCCAATATATTTTTCCTATTTTAAAAATCTTTAAATACATTTATGTGTAAGACACCCAGAGGTTTTTTTTAAAGAAACAGACAAGGAATATATAAGGGTCTGGGTAAACTTGAAGAAGTTACACACTGTAAATAATGGCAGCTCTCTACTGTATTAAAAATATTATCTTCTAGCACCCAGATCTAACACATATTTTGCCACTAGGTATAGCACAAACTATTTTGCGTTTCTAAAATTTTGCTGTCTTAAATATTGCACTATGATGCAACCTCAGACTTGTCTTGAGTGAATTTACTGAAGATTACCCACATATTCATGGAATTTTTTTTAAAATAAAGAGCTGGATTAGAGCCTAGGCTTACTTTAGCCAGTAGAGAGAACAGTCTTGGTTAATCCTATAGGCAAGCCCAGTTCAATTCCTCATCCTTTGTCCACACAAAAAGAAAAGGAAATCTGTACCATGGCTCTTGTTTATTGGTCTTCTCTCCAGGGTTTGGAAAGATTTAGAGCACCTAGCATCTGCACAAAAAACCCTACGAGTTTAATAATAGATGATTTTCCAAATGTTCAACAGATGAAACACATTTTTAATAAACTAAGCCGAATGGCCACTTCAATCTTATAACTAGAGATGGGAGGTGAATAGTGATTGGCTATCCACTCCTGGCAGAAGGAAGGAAAACGAGCTTCCCTGACAGGCTGATGAGTGGCTAGCTGACGGGCAGCTCCAGAGCGATTGGAAGGGAGATGGGAGCTGGTGGTGGCAGCAGCAGACGCGTGAGTGGACAGTCTGGCCTCAGGGGGCAGGCCTCTCATTACATCCAGCTGTCCAGGGGTATTTGTAGTCATATACGAATATGAATACCCCATCTCTACTTATAACATAAAAGTCTCCCGTAAGTGTATAAAACTTATAAAGCATGTTTTGGTTAGTTTACAGTGTGTAGAAGGATTAATTTCATGCACTTTAATTGGAAATATTAATCATAATTTGCAAAGTCACAACAATAGCATTAGGAAATGCACAACCTTCTCTGAGAGCATGTATTTCTGTTGTGACTCTGCAAGTGGGGGCAACTGAATAATCCACATATACTGAATACACCAACAGTGCAACATAACCTATCCTCCACCACACAATAAATAATGCTGACTCACTGCTGGCCACCTCTGGGAGGATGAGTGGATAACTGGAGATCACAAGAGCCATTTCTTTCTTTCTAGCAAGACATACAGGGCTTGGCCTGACACTACATTCAGGAATGGCGCTTCAAATGATCACAGGATTTCCTTTCCATTCACATTATAGAAGAATTTAAGTCTGTTTTCCTTGCTGTCCCAGGTTTTTCAGGGAGCAGAAAAGAAAGTTCTAGTATAAAGGTTTTAAAATGCATACTAATAGAAATATCTGACACATACTGTTCTTGTACTCTTGAAAGAATAACCAAAAAGGAGGAGGAGCACAGGATAATTTTAATGTCTTTGGGCAAGACTCAGGACACTTCCATAGCCAGATTGGCCACCAAATGTTGATTTACTGGGGAGTGGCACTGAATTTTGCCTTGTTCACATATATATACATTTCCAAAGATATATTTCTGTCATTTACAAGGTGTATGTGCTTTAAAAGTAATCTTCAATAGTTTATGCTCTTAGATGGGTCTCTAAAAAAGGAATCTGTGCCCATGTCCCAGAGTCTGTCTTCATGTCATCAGTTCTCAGCTGAAAGCAACCCAATGGCTATGATTCATTTAACCTAATTATAATTGTAACAGCTAAATCCTTCCTTCTGTTTTTCAAACATAAACACTAAAACTGGCATCCTTCAAAGACTGCACAGTAGAACTCCAAGAAAAGTATGATAAAAGGAGGGAGAAAACCTCCAGTAAAAATATATAAATCAGGCTACTAAATACACAGTAAAATACAAAAAGGTATCCCCGCCCCCAAAAAACCTCAATCCAAGCAGCTCCAACAGGGCTCTCCATCTGAGTGGCTTTTTCAAGTCTCCATGTTATGATGTTGGGTGCAAGCTGTTTGTTGACCTACGAGAAAAACTTCAAAAGATCCATTCTAGAAGTTATAAAGTATATAATTCAGGTTACCCTCAGAAGTCTAACGCAGCTTAGTACAGTAACGGCAATCCTGTGCCTGCCAGCTCAGAAGTAAGTCTCATTGAGTTTCAATGGGACCTACTTCTAGAGATATGTGTACAGAACTGCTAACCAAAGGTCATTCCTTAAACCAAGTTAGAGAGCAACAATTTTGAACAACAAATCCACAGATTAGTTTAGGAAACTGATTTGCTTTCATTAGGTTTCCTCTCTTCTTTGGCAAAAATGGTGAATGAGAAGAAACAAAATGTAAGTCCAGTAACATGTTGTGCTCAGTTTTCAATCAGTCATGAAACAGATGCTGTAGATTGGTCACTGGGAGGGAGGCCCCAGATCAGGCAATGCTTGATTTCTCTTTTCCCGGGTCGCTTTTCTCCCTACTAATGGCAAGAGAGAAGTGATGATGTGGCGAAAAATGCACGTCTTTAGGCATCATATTTTTTACCAGTCCTGTGAATCTGCTGAAAGAGAGTCATGGAAAAAGCCATGCCAAGTATCTGAAAGAGAGGCAAAGGAAAAAATGTTAAGGTCACCATCCTTACGGCTGACTTGGAAGAACACTTCGTTAGCTCCTGTCCCCACAAAACCTCTCAGACCAAGACAGACTGATGACATCTTTATTATCTTCCATCTGTTTTATAATTCCAGTTGCCAGGTATCAGGACACAGGTGAAATTGCAGTAAACTGCTATGTGTCTGTGGGTCTCCTACACTGGAGGGAGAGATTATTTGAATTTTCAATGTGAAATGGCATTAAAACCTGAGCACACAACTTCATTCATTCCCAGCTAGTGCTAGGCTCAGTGGCAAGATATATGTGCTTGAGTTGCCCCAAAAGGCAATATAGGCCCAAGTGCACGCACCTCCAAGCTTTCTCCCCTCTCATTGCTCCTGGCATTTTGACAGACTGACACTAAGCCTATCATCTGGAACAAAGCTGGGGATGGAGCAATGGTGTTGCAACTCATGAGCCTTCTTGTTGCTCATGTCCTGGCAACAGTAGCAAAAAACGTAGGGAAGTGTTTGCCTCCTGGACTCAGGTTTTCCCCTGAAATCCTAGGGAATGGGATGCGCTATCATGGCCATCTTATAACTGTTTAAGTTATTTTATAGTGTGAAAAACATACTGCGAACTCTACATATAGGCTGATACAAATATTTTAATAAATAGATAAGGCCTTGACTATGTTTCACCAGCAATGCAGTAACTTTTACCCCACACTCAACTACAGCCTGGTTCATTCCTCTCATACAGTAGGATGTTATTTTTCTCACCCTGTCACTGCAGGCACTATTTTGAAAACATGTATAAAAAAGAAATTCAGAATATTGTTTTATCATAGGACAGTTACTCTAACAACAACATAATGTTAGTAACTTAGGATATACATACCTGCATTATGAGGACACACATCCCAACTGTCCCAAGAATATGCTTATTATCGTCAAACCATGTCTTGACTTTCTCATAGCAACCCTGAAAAAAACAACCCACAGATATTTTACAGTCACTTTGATCAGAAAAGTATTAGAAACGTGGTAAAAAATTATCCAGTTAATATCAAAATCTAGTACAGTATTTGCAATTTAATATAAACTTTTGTTTTTGCTCAATCATGATGACTGATGTCTCTTTGATGGGCAAATCAGTTTTGTTGACAAAGACAAGAAGTAATGTCCACAAAACACAACACAACACAACACACTGTATGTTAACAAGAATGGGGTAGGGGAAGGGCAAGAATCACAGAAACAAAATCATCCAGAACAACCTTTTGAATCTGTTCCTCCAGGAAGCACTGAGTAAAAGTTGATGAAATGCTTCTGACCAACTCATGCCGAACAAGGCTGGTGATTTTTCAGAAAGGAAATATTTCCAATTCCACTCCCCTCAAGTTCAGAGTTTACCTTGGAATCCTTTCATTGTGGGGAAATACTGGGGACTACGGAATGGTGTGTGTGTGTGGAGTCTTTCATTTCTTTTTCTTTTTTACTTTTTTTAAAAAATATTATATCACAAACAAACATACAAAACAGACAAAAACATATATGCGGGGAGGTATTTTCCATACAATCATATCCAATATATAGTTCTGACTACATAAACCATATTACCCTACTAACATATTTAAGCCATACTATATTCGCCATTCTGTATATACAGTATATGTATATATGCATATATATTTTATATCAGTGCTTCAAATTTTAAATTCAGAACAAACCTTCTTGAATTTATAATGATTAATTAACAAACATACATTATCTGAAGTATAATCTTAGACCTATATTCATCTTCCACTAAACAATTTCTATTATTGTATTTAGCATAAAATATTCTAGTTTAAGAGATATATATGCTTATCTATTACCTATTCAGATGAAAGTCCAAAATTGCTAACAATATATCTTAATATACTTATACATCAAAAAAGTAAATTTGTAGATTCTTTTTCCTACAGCCTTATCAATCCAATTATATGTCAGGGTATCAATGCTTTTACAATCAGTAAAACATAGTCACATTATAATTCATATATGCTTAGTGTCTCTATGTCTCTATTTTACAATCAGTGGCATCTAATATTATATTCAACATGAGCATTTCTAATTTAATAGCTATACTTATCCACCATTTAAATCCAAGCATGACCAGAATTGCTGAAAGTATATTAACCACATTAATTTGTGTATATATGTGTACCTTCCAATCAATAATTTCTTTTATTATGTTCATCAAGTAACTTTCCAATTTTTTATTATACAGTTCCATGTATAAACTGGGAATCACAAATTGTTTACAGTATTATAACCTGCAATTCATCTCTTGCATCTGTTTTACCAGTTTTAAAGTGCTATCTATAAAATCTCTTTAGACTATTTTCTCTCCAATTTACTGATTTTATCCCACTGTAATTAAGATTCTGCCTTCGAAGCCAATCATATATGTCTACTCTGTAATCAGAATTTTGTACCCTATCCAATTTCGCCTTCTCATTTCTCTCCTTTAAATTCTCTCCCATCAGACTAGTATCAATTTTCTGAGTAATCTTCTCCTTAATATACATCCCCCCACTCATCCACCTGACCCTCCCTCTCATGCAGATTCATTATTTTGCCCTCCTTTTTCGGGATTTTAACCTCCTTTCTGAGGACAAAAGTGTCTCTCTCTGGTGCTGCCGCTGCTTCGGTGGGCTGGCCTTCCCCCTTCACATTCCATCCTGAAATCATCACCTTAACTTCAGAGATCTGGGCCTTCATGTGCTCCTTAATTTGATTAACAATGTTCATTTGAAGCTCTTGTATATAATCCTTAAAGTAGTCCTCCATTGCAGATTTGATGGGCAGTCGTGCTCTCTGCTTCCAGAATATAGATTTCATGTAGACAGACACTTTCTACTACAGAGTTCTTCTATTTTCTCCAAAGCCCACCAGATTGGCTTTTGTTTATTTTTCCCCCAGTTCAAAGCCATAAAGTAATAAATTCGATTACTCAGTTCACCTCATGATTTATTAAGTCAGCCAAGACTTCAACTCCTGCCCAACAGCTCCAGTTGTAAATCCAGCCGTGATAAGGTTCTGTTTAATTTATAAACCACATCTTGCAGCTCAGTACAAAATCACTTAGGTTGAATTTCTCAAATGTCTTTAGATTCTAATTTTATATTGTTAGAATTATCCATCCATTGGAGGAGAGGGGTTGAGAAGAGGAAATCTCCATTTATGTCTTTAGCTTGTTTCTGTTTCTGTTTCTCTCAGATGTGACGCAGTAAAAATTTACCGATGTTTCAGGGTTACAAAGCTTATATGCTGCCTTAAAATTACTCTTTCTCCTTTAAAAACAGCTTCTTAAGTTTGATTTATACTTGCTGAAGCTGACTAAAAGTCAATTAGTCCCTGTTCATGCAGTCAGGCGTAAATATTCATACCTCCCCTCTAGGCAGCTTACTCACCATAATTGCATTCTCTCGAGCCAGTTGTTTGATAGGATGGAAAACTCTCACGAAAACAGATTGCTGTCTGAAATTTGGAAGTTTCCAAGGCCTACTTGCTGCAAGCCCACTCTCCTGTGGAAAATGTGCCCCCCATTCACATGGGGGGGTCCACTGACTTGGAGCAAATGCAGGGGTTTCCAGGACACTAGGATTCCCCTGTTCTCACTGCCATTGCTTCACCCCTCTTCGGAGTCTTTAATTTCTGAAATGCACCCCTGGAAGGATCAATTTTTCTAGTTGCTGCTCGTTTCCCTTCATCATCCTACTTAATTTTTTTTCATAGTAGCCTCTGTAAAGATGACTCATTCTCAGTAGAAATGACAGCAGCAGTCACTCTTTCCTCCTCTTGGATGGGGTGATAAGCACTTCCCCTCATAACTTCCTTGAAACTGTTTCCTCAAAGGAGCAGCCATCATCAGTGTTGGCTGCAACTGCAGCCCAGTTTTTTAAGGCCCAGCCAGGAAGGTGTTTTCAGTTGGACTGAAGTGGCGGAAATCCTTGGCTGAAAATCTGTTGCCCTGTGAGGTAACTCACAGGTCATCAGATTCACGGGTAAAGCTACAAGAGCCTAAGCGACAGACATACTTCCTTTCACCAGGGTTTGCAAAGTTCCATAGCTTGTTTAGCCCCCTCGCTTTTAACTAGCAGTGATTGGACAGAACACTGCTTGTACTTGCTCAACAAGGGTCCCCACAGTTCCTTGACTTACTGGTATGTTTAAATGGGGCTTACTGAATCTGAATCTCAGAAGAAGATCAGTCTATACTTTATTTAGCCGCCTAGAGTGGTCGTATTGACTGGATAGGCGGGGTACAAACAAACAAACAAATAAACAAACAAACGAATGAATGAATGAATGAATGAATGAATGAATGAATGAATGAAATGTGTTGTTGTCATTTAGTTGTTAAGTTGTGTCCGGCTCTTCCTGACCCCATGGACCAGAGCATGCCTGGCCCTCCTGTTTTCCACTGCTTCCCGGATTTGGGTCAACTTCATGTTGGTAGTTTCGGGGACACTGTTCAACCATCTCGTCCTCTGTCATCCCCTTCTCCTCTTGCCTTCAGTCTCTCCCAACATCAGGGTCTTTTCCAGGGAGTTTTCTCTTCTCATTCTAACTGTTGCTTCCTGTCCCACATAGAGATTTCTCAGGAGATAGATAAGGTGATCAGGCACTCCCATTTCTTTAAGAATTTGTCATCGTTTGCTGTGGTTCACACAGTCAAAGGCTTTTGCATAGTCAATGAAGCAGAAATAGATGTCTTTCTAGAACTCTCTGGCTTTCTCCATAATCCAGCGCATGTTAGCAATTTGGTCTCTAGTTCCTCTACCCCTTCGAAATCCAGTTTGTACTTCTGGGAGTTCTCGGTCTACATACTGCTGAAGCCTGCCTTGGAGGATTTTGAGCATAACCTTGCTATGCTTTATAGACTACAGCAAAGCCTTTGACTGTGTGGATCATGAAAAGCTATGGAAATGGGCATGCTTTAAAACTTGGTTGTTCTGAAGTTTAATGTATACTCTCTACAAGAAGCTTCTGGAGGGACAGAATATGGAAACAGAATGGTTTCCCATAGGCCAAAGTGCCAAACAAAGGTGTATTTTATCTCCCTAGCTGTTCAATCTGTATGTGGAATACATCACGCAGAAAGCTGGACTAGATGCAGATGTAGGCAGAGTAAACACTAGTAATCAACAATTTCAGATATGCAGATGACTGGCAGAAAGCAACAATGACTGGAAATGACTCCTGATGAAGGTGAAAGAAGAAAGGGCAAAAGCAGGACTCCAGTTGAATACTGTATATGTTAGGTGTCGTCAAGTCGGAACTGACCTGCAATGACTCTAATATAGCTTTTGTAGTAAGCAGTATTTCTGGAGTGGCTTTATCAACTCCATTCCCCTTCCTCGAGTTTCCATTGCTGAATGGGAATTTAAATCCAGGTCTCCTAAGTCCTAGCCGACTCTGCCTACCACACAACACTGGGTATCCCACTGCACATTAAGAACATAGAAATAATGCAGAAGAACTACATAACGTTAATATTGATACTGAAAAACTGAGACAGTTAATTTTTTTTATATACTTTGATTCAATTGTCAATTCAGATAGAGACTGCAACCAAAAAATCAGAAGAAGACTGAGACTTGAAAGGGCTGCTATGAGGGAATCTAGAAAAGATAATTAAGTGTAAAGATGAATCACTGGAGACTAAGGCTACTATGATCCACACTACTGCATTCCCATTTACCATGTACAGATGTGACAGTGAAGAAATCTAATAGGGAAATCCGACAGACAATTTATTAAAAATATGGTGCTGGAGTAAAACTTTCCAGATACCACCAGAAAGACAAACAAGACAAGCAAGTGGGTCCCAGGTCAAATTAAGTTTCAACTCTTCGTAAAAGCAAGAAGGATGAGATTGAAGCTTTAATACTGTTGGCACATCATGAGGAAATAAGACTTGTCTTTCATTGTTACAAGCTGCCTTGGGTCCTTTTCAAGGAAAAAGGTGGGGTAAAAATATTTTAAAGAAAATAAAAAAGACATGAAGGCTTGGGGAAACTGATGGCATCGGGAAAAGAAGAAGACCAAATATGAGATGGATTGACCCAATAAAGGAAGCCATGGCCTTGACTTTGCAAGAGCTGAGCAGGGCTGTTAATGATAGGAGGTATTTATTCATAGGGTTGTAACGGGTCAGAAGCAACTTGACAGTACATAACAAGAACTGGAAATGTAGTAGAAAGAGTGCCTGTTAGCTATTTTTTCCTTGCTAAGAAAGATTTAAGTCTAGTCCATACTGTACGAATGATCTCCTGATTGAGCCGAAGTGTGTAAGAATTTGAAACTTGGCAGGACAGTTCACAAGGGCAGCTGTAGGCATCCCAAAGGCACCTCCATATTGTTCTGTTCTTACATGGATTCTGCCTGAATTTGCAGATTGTGTAGATGATTTTTATCCATTGAGAATGTAATATGATAGAGCCCTCAGTTCCAGCAACATACATTCCAGTTTATCTGGCCACAGTTTCATTCCTGCTTTCTTTCTGGTTAAATAGGTGTTGCCAGCCTGTTAAACCCATAAAGAATTAGGATGTAATCCTAAATGAATACTAATTAAAATACACAGATCTTTATTAAATTTTTAGCATGCATAATGGTAATATATTTGAATTTGATTTTACTTGTATAGTAACTTAACAAACTAAATTAGTTTATTATTATATATTACATTTATAGTCCATCTCCCCCCCCACCCATGATAAAAGTTAAGATGACATACATGCTCTTCCAGCCAGGTTAGACACAGACCTAATTTCAGTCACATTTTTGCATAATATACCTTCAGGCCATGCCCTAGAGTAAACAGGTGACTGAACAGTGGTTGTTATATGATCAAACAGTTGTTAAAATGAAAGCTTTAGGTACAATCTTACACCTACTTGCCTGGAAGTAAATCGTATGAAACTCTTGGGCTTTACTTCAGAATAAACAAATGCAGAATTGCATTGTTTATCTGTATAATTAATAACTGTGTCAATGGATTTTAAAAATGGGAAAAATAAAATTAGTGTGCACTTCCTCAATGAAACTAAAGATGAAATTCAAATTAGGTATACATTTTCCTTACCGTTTTCCACACTAAATTTGTATTGGTGGAATTCCGACCACAGTCTTGTGAATTTTCCATGCAGCATCGGTCAGGAACAGTATTTTCACCCAGTACTGGATACCAGTCTTTGTAGTCAAGAACCCCACAGCAGTGCATCTATGGGACAGGAACAAGAAGGACCTTGAACAGCCTAATATTGAAAGTACATTTTATAGTATTACGAGTGCTGTGTAGGATATACCAGCGATACCACATTATTAGAGAGTTGTATACTCTTTTAAAAAAACAATCATGTTATTTAAGAAGCATAAACAGTGTGACATGGTATTTAAATAGTTTTAGGTTCCTGAACACACCACATTCTATATTCAAAAAAAGGGATACAGGACCAAATTTGGGAGGCGAGGAAAGGAATCCAATTCCCCACAGATCTTTCATAGTACAAATACTTATATACCGTGATTCTTAGTTGTTCCTCTTGGGTCTTTACTTTTGGCTAATTTAGTGCGACAGAGAAATTTCACTCCTTTAGAGTGTCTGGAACCAAACTGAGATTGTGATCAGACAGTGAGAAAAGTAAATGTCTGATCATACAGGAAGGGTCGTTTTCCAAGAGCTATCTCTGACAGATGTAAGGGACACTTTAAAGGAGATTGGTCCAGGCAAAGTAACTCTTCTATTGTTGGAGAATCATTCCAAAAAGTAATAGCCCTACTGCTGGCCCCAAAAAGTCCAGCTTGGACACAGATTAGGGTGGGTCCAGTGTGTGATTCTCCATACATTGTGCAATTCCCAGGAAATAGCTTGCACCAGACCTTATCAGAGGCTTGTGGTAGAAACTGCAGACAAGGTGAAACCCAAAATTTTAATCTGGGTTTAGGGAAACCAACACCAAACCAGTGTATACTGAGCATGTAAATCTCCACTTGTCTTGTCTTCACACTCAAAATTATTCTCCTCACCCCATGAGAGTATGAGGTATTCTGTGGGATTCTGGACAACACAACAAAAATTATTTTTTTGGTGTGCAAGTAGCAAATAATCCAATAACATGAATGATCTAAAATGATGATGGCGAGAGCTGCTGATTTGTTGCGTGGCCTTGCAAGGATTAGAGGCACTGGATGGATTGTTTGCATATTTTTAAGCAACACAATTGTTCTATGCTTGGCTGGCTTATGTGTGTGAGAACACTTTGTTTCACAAAAACAAATGGCCACCTGTTCTGCACAGAAACAGTGAGAAAATATAGTGCTCCAAATCTTCCTCTCACCTCAAGGCAAGAAATCTTGTGGGGCTTGACAATTTCTCACTGAGGTGTCTTGACAAGGCAAAGGATTTAGCAAGTAGGCTTTGAATCCTTAGTATAGAATAATGGTAGCTTCCAGCATAGCAGAAAGATGCAGATAAGCCCTGACAGTTACTAGCAGTGCAGAATAGGAGAGTGTGCCATTTTGCAAAGAAATATGCCACTGTCTTTACCTCTGCTTGAATGATATTCCATGCATTCTTCAGCCCAACATTATTCTCTGTGTTGTAAAGCTTGAGACCTTCTTGCAGATCCTTAATTGCATTTTCATTAACCTGTTCCATATAAACAAGTATCAAGGTCAGAACATATTGCAATCACTGTTTTTGCAGGTGCAACCATTATCTAATCCTATCTCTGGTTAGATACAGTTTACATGAGGGAAAGCAAATGGAGCACGTTCTCTCCCTTTTGTATATCAACTTGATCTCAGTTTTACAAGTTGAGAGCCATTTATCAAGGTTAGCAATTCTGGAGGAAGATATCTCTTTAAAAAGTGTTCAGCAGTATATGAAAAGGACGTATCAAAAGGAGAATACAGTAGGGACAGAAGTGGAAATCTGGTATTCTCAAAGGTATTTCAAAGAGATGTTTTGTCTTTTGTCAGTTCACAGTATGATGTCATCGGGGTTGTTTTTTTTAAAAAAACTGAATTGGGGAAACCTTAATTAAAATCCTTCGTCTGGGTAAGGTAAAATCCTTACCAACTTACTTAGAAGCCTTGTTCCCTCATGTGGTAAAAAGACATCTGTCATGGCACATTCTTTTCCTTACCTCTTGCATTTAGTAATGCATTTTTTTAAAGCGATTTGCCACTGGAAGATAGACATGGACTTACTTTGCAAGACCAATTAGTGAGGCTCCTACTTGTAAGGGTACCCCAGTGCTGGAGGGAAAATAGTACTCATTCGCTTAATATCTACTCTGATCCTTAGTTCACTTGTCAGTTACTGCCTCTCAACCTAAACTGCCTCATGAGAATTGCTAAGAGGATAAAGGAAAGGGGTAGGATAAACTTGTCAGTTTAAAAGCTTGTCTCTTACTAAATTTTATTCACAATTGTAAACTTACTGGGGACACCCAACAAGAAAATATTTTCTTTGTCATGTCTTGTAATTCCGGTATTTACTAATTCATGCATTTATGAAACTAGGAATATTTTCTATCACCGCTGGATAGCATAATTTACAAATTACTATTTAAAACAACAACAACAACACACACACCACTATCTGTTACAAACACAATGACCAAATTCCTCTTGAATACCTTCTGTTGGTGTAGGGGATGTGACATTATTACAATGACAGATTGCCACTGATTTAGAGTCCCTGTTCTAATTCCTCGTGGGATTTCTCACTGTATACAAGTTGGGTGGTTTCATGCAGAACTCAGTCTCTGCCTGGATTCTGGGCTGTGTGTGAGTCCATCTCACTAATGCACAAGGAATCCTGTGAAGATGAACTGCTGGATAGCTCAGTGATTTAATCATCTGGTTGAGAGTTCGATTCCCCACTGTGCCTCCTTAACAGGAGCTGGAGTCAAGCCATAGGGTTCCTTCCAGCTCTGCAGTTGCAAGATTATTATCATCAACAACAGAGCCACAGGCTGGACTCCAACTATTGGGAACCTGCTCTTGTGCTAATGCCATTTTTCTACACTGATATAAGTTACGCATGCGAATTTTGACCCTCTCCCCATAACAGCATAAAATCAACACATACACAACATTAAAACAATAAAGAATGGAATCTCCACTGATATATATCAATATTTGATTTATGCATGCACACAGAGAAGCAAATGAAAACAAACAATGATTCCAAAATAGCAATGTTCTGAAAAAACAGCAATACTTTGGAAGTACAGTGGTGCCCCATTTGACAACGATAATCCGTTCCAGCGAAATCGGTGTAGAGCGAAATTGTCATCGAGCGAAAGTAAAAAACCCATTAGAATGCATTAAAATGGTTTAATGCGTTCTAATGGGGGAAATACCTCATCGCCAGTGAAGATCCTCCATAGGGCGGCCATTTTTCAGTGCCTGTAAAGCGAGGAATTCGTCCTGAACACAGCGGGGCGCCATTCTGCACAGCGGGCGGCCATTTTTCGACCCGCCGATCAGCTGTTTTAAAACCATTGTTAAGTGAAAAATCGGTTCCCAAAGCAGGGAACCAATCATCGTTAAGTGAAAAAACCCCTTTGAATCATCATTTTGCGATCACAAAAAACTCATCGTAAAGCGGATTTGTCGTCAAGTGGATTTGTCATCAGGTGGGGCACCACTGTATATTTGGACATAATCTGATCTAGTCACAATCATTTATTTTCCTGTATCAGTTAATTCAACTTTTTCTCTTGGGATAGGGAAGTAATAAATTAAGTAATATTTTTGTAAGGTTCCAAAACCTGTGGGGAATTAGCATGTACTTTGGCACATGTAGTCCAAGAAAACAATATAAATCAAGAGAATTTACAGTTGGCTGTGGCCCCCAAGCCATTCTCTTGTTATGTCCTGCACAATATCACACAGAAGCCACCAACATCTACTTTCCCATCTGCCTGCTTCTTGGTGCAGATCTTAGCTCTGTTGAACATAAACCTTCTACAGACCCTTGTTCCACATTATTACTTCCCTGACATGTCTGTATGGAGAGATGGGGTGTGGAAGTCTAAGCTTTGCTTTACCAGGGCAGGGTGTCGGGGTGGTTGTGGGAGAAAAGTACAGCTTAGTTTTTCAGAAGGGCTAGGTGACTGAATTGGAACTGTATAAACACTTACCTTATCCATATAAACAAAGAACAAAATGAGCAATATCAGTTCAGCCAGAAGAATGATCAGCAAAACAATGAAAAACTGCAAGAAAAGGTAAAAAGAATAAAGAGGAATGTTATAATAAGAGGAAGAGGGGAGGGATTTAAAATGTCTTGTTCATCATCACAATGCTGAATATGAAACTGTAAAGCATCCTTTGAGCCATCCTCTGTGAAAAGCCTATAGAAGAGCTCATTTTTACATCACCTTGAATTGATAGATGCCACCACCTGCACCTTCTTCATGCATGCAGGATGAAGGAAATGCCAGTTTACACAGCAGATAAGAGGATTTCTTTTGTGGGGCCTGTCCGTTCCCTGAGTTTGGGAAATGCAATAAACAAAGCAAAACCAAAAGAGAACTCCTAGCCTACTGGTTTGCTTTCCATTTCCTTAACTGGGAAAACCTCTGGGTGGAAGATTGGATTATATCTAGGAAGGGACTAAATTTAATTGCTTCTTAACTAAATTCTGTAAACTGCCCAAAATAGTATGTGTTCATTAATGACGTGATATACAAATCAAGTAAATAAATAAATAAATAAATAAATAAATAAATAAATAAATAAATAAATAAATAAATAAATAATAAAAGCTATCTATCTATCTGCCTGCCTGCCTTTTCATCTTATATACTGCCTCATAGAGCAATGTTACAATATATTCAAAACAAAAGGTTAAAGTCTACAGTCTAATGTGTTAAACTCACAAAAGTTACTGATATTATTATGAAACATTTTGTTTGTTTTTAATTTTACTATGAAATGTGTAAGAATTTTATTTAAAGAAGACCCTAGCAGGGAGAACTCACTTCATCTTTACTGACATTGAACTATCCATAATATATTCATCTTTTCTGCAGAATATATATTCTAAATGCCACTATTCTAAGGGAGAAAGGACCAATTTTTTTTTATAGGATATAGAACTTTATTTTTTTGGAATGTCAAGGCAAAACTATAGTTTACAGTTTGCAACAAGGTCTTAGACTGCAATTCATGGTGGCTCCCAGTGTCACTGTGTACTCTTGGTGGAACCAGATCCCAGAGGAGCTTTGCCTGCCCTCCTCCCTATTGACATTTAAGAGGCAACTTGAGACATAGCTCTTCAGGGAGACTTTCCACTCCAACCCCAGTTGAGTTACAGCGATAGTACATTTATGTTGAGTTACTGTTATTTTTCCCCTTCACGGATTGCTGCCTTGTCGTGGCGAAGGGGCTTGAGTAATTCAGAGAGGCTATGGGCTAGGCCGTGCAGGGACACCCAAGGCGGACAGGTCATAGTGGAGAGGTCTGACTAAATGTGATCCACCTGGAGCAGAGAAGGGCAAGCCACTCAAGTATCTCTGCCAAGAAAACCCCATGAACAGAAACAAAAGGCTAAAAGATATGATGCTAAAAGATGTGCCCCTCAGGTTGGAAGGCATCCAACATGCTACTGAGGAAGAGCAGAGGACAAGGACAAGTAGCTCCAGAGCTAATAAAGTGGTTGGGCCAGATCTATGAAGCTTGGTAAGCTGGAGGTGGTCAAACAGGAGATGGCAAGAATCAACATTGACAGAATAGGAAAGACACTCTGACAAGTAACATGGGCCCAAACTATGGAGGGCTTTGTATCTAAGTATGAAAACCTTGAACCTGATTTGGGACGCAATGGGCAACCAGTGGAAGTGAGCCAGAACTGGAGTGATACAGTCAAATTGCTTGCACCCACCACCAGTCTGGTCACCACATTCTGGACTCATTAAAGTGCCTGGACTCATTAAAGCCCCCATGTAAAGAGCATTCTAGTAAGTTTAGGAAATGATCAGTGCCTGCACCAAACTCTTTTTAAACAGAAGAGGCTTTCTCCTGACATCCCTTCAAAACAAACCATACTTGTTCACTCTTTTTCATTTTTTTCTAATTCTCCTGTCATGAACTTGAACATGCTAACTGAGGCCTGTGGAGCCTGAGATGTAACTCTTCGTTGTTTTTTTCATTTTGTAATTTCTCTGAGCACTGCACAGTCTGACCTTGGGGTTAATTTGCTCAGACATCCACTCCTAGGAAGACTGGCAACTGTCTTGAATGTTTTCCATACATTATCTTCCTCACTGTAGAATGATGGACTTAAAATTGTTTGGAAATGGCCTTATAATTCTTCCCAGATTGATGGGCAGCAACAATTGCTTCTCTAGAATAATTGCTGATGTGTTTCCTATTTGGCATTTTGTTAACACACACCTAAATGTTCCAGACCAGCAAACTGCTAAAACTTCGGCTTTTACAGAGGTGGTCACATTTGCTAATGATCAATTACTTAAGTGCATTTGGTTAGCAGCATCTGGCTGTTGCTTAGCCTCTTAATTCCTATGGAAGCAGTAAGGGTGTACTGCATTTTTCACACATGGTTTCTACATTTTGGCTTTATTTCTGTTAAATAAATCAAGACATGGTGTAATATGTCATGTGTTGTTGTTCATCTGAGTTTGTATTTACCTAATTTTCAGACTTGCTAACAACCAGATTATTTGTATTATGTCCTGATTAGAGGTGTGCACAGATTAAAAGATAAATTGCAAACTTTGCCTAAAATCACTACTTCATCAGAAATGCATTGCTTTGTATTCATCAGAAGCAATAACTCAGATGAATACAAAGCACTGCATTTTAGTCATTTCAGATTCATTGCTTCTTTCTTATGTCTTTTGCCACCTGCTGCTCACTCATGTCAATCAGAACCTCTAGACAACTATGGGCAAATTTCTTCACTCTTCTTTGATCGCGAGTCTTGCTGATGTCAATACATGGTCTTCCTTCCTTTTTTGTGTGATACAATCTCTTTGTTCGCAGTTTTACTCTACTACACACCAGGGAGTGATCAGTATCACAATCAGCACTCTGGTAACTGCATGTGATTGTAATACAGTCAACCCTCTAGTTACAAACGGCCCTAGTTACGAACATTCCGACTTACGAACCACTGTGATAGGAAAATATTGCCTCGACTTGCAAACTTTTCTTCGAGTTATGAATGGAAGAGCGAAGAGGGTGCTTGTCTCCTGAACAAACACCACATCCTTTCCTCTCTCTTTTGAGGCCTGTGGGGCTTAGCACATAGGGAGAAAAGCATGAATCAAAGCAATCCTGCAGTGCTTTGATCCCTTTCCCCTTCTTTTGCTAAGCCCCACTTAGATTTCTTAATTTTGGGTTAGAAAAGTGGGGAGCGTCTTATACATGGGGTGTCTTATACATGGAAAAATACGGTATAATCTCTGCAACCTCTGTAAGTCATACTCCTAGGCAGGAACCAGTGCTGGAATTTCCACCAAGCCAGTTGCTAAAGGACATTTGCCTTGAGGGGCCCACTTTGTGGGTGTATAACTCAGATGTCTGAAACCTGAACTTCACCAAACATGGAGGAGTTGTAGAGGAGAGTCCGGGGAAGCTTCCCTGCAATTTTGGTGTCTTAAGGTGTGTGGTGGGGGCATTATATAGACACAATGAATCAACAAATGGATTTGTGATTCATTTTGCAAAATTTCAGAAATTTGTGATGATTCACAAATAAGACAAATCACCATTTTACCAATTCATGCTCATCTCTAGTCCTGATATGTAAAACTACAGTATTCAAAGAGGATGTATTTTCGTTTTCACATGACTATTTGGATAAACAATTCAAAAAGTTATACCAAACTCCCAAGACAATAAAATCAGAATTAGTCCTTCCAAAAGGTTGTTAACATTTCCTTGTAATTATCTTAAATCTCTTTCCAGAAATATAAAATTTCTAGGAAGCATATGTTCCATTAAATTTCCACCCGCTTTCTCATCTTGCTTTTTCTAATCCCCTTCCTCAGACAAGTGGCCAGTTAGCAGCCCAGAAGCCTGTAGAAAATTAAAAGGGACTTGATTTTTTGGGTGGGGAGGAAGCCCAGTCAGAACTCTGAAAAGTTCTTTTTAGACTATAGTTTACAGAATGCCTAATCAACATGGGGTTGCAGAACAAGAAAAAAATCCTTTGCTAGGTCTGCATAATTTAACCATGCACTCTAAAATAGTACAAGGTTCTAGCTTGCTTTGCCTTGGTCTTTTTGCTTTCGTTGTACATCCCTTCCCTATTTAGTCCTAGTTATTCCTATGGCTTAACTGCTTTGTGTGTTTGTTAGCAGCTCTATGAAACAACCCACACTTGTGTGCAAACAAGCTTAAAGGAGGCTTTCCCCAGATTGCAATACTTACTGAGGAACTGGGAGAAGATGACTTTAAGACCCTGTCAATCACATAATGGATGGCCAAAACAGCCATAAAAATCACTTTGTGTTTGGGTGAGAAGTGACCAACTGATGAAAAAAGGAGTCCACTTCTGGGATTTTTTGTTGTTGTTGCTTAGTGTCTGTTTGTGAATAACAGTAAGCACAAGAGAGGATCCTGCAAACCACTTTGACTACTGACTTCGATGTTGTCAATATTAAAGCTGGCTTTTGTTATGTAAACTTTGGCATATTTTACCCTGCTGGCAACATAAACACATTGGAAAGCTGTGCTGGACCATCTTCTGGTGTTTTGAACTCTTGGCAACAAACGAAATTCCACACTCATAAATCACATGTTTGCTGTGAAACACACCAACATAATGCCAGTGTTTCCTGCAGCAATCATACTGTCTTTAGGACTAAGAGAACCAGATTCATTCAGATACTGTACACAGAAAGCAAGTGAGCAACATAAAGATAAATATCCTACTGTATGTTTTAACATTTTTTGAAAGAAGAATAAAAGAGTGTGTTACAAAAAAGAATATTTTCCAGGATTGCAGTTTTAATCTTGTTCCCTATGTTGATTATAGTAACTGCATGCAACTCAGAAGGGAAAAATTAACCTGGATCATCCAGGACTCTTATGCATGAGGGAAAATTAGATCTTTTTTCTGTCAATATAACTAAGTTATAGAGCTACATAGCTTCTAGTCAGGCAGGGCTTGGTAGACAGAAAAATTGCTTGATCTTCCATAAAAAATGTCTCGAAAAACAAATAACAAATGTGTTAGCAACTTACACTTAGGAGGAGGCACTTATTTTCCTTGATAGCACCCAAGCAGCCCAGAAAGCCAGTCACCATGATGATAGTACCGATGGCAATGACCAGGTTGGCAGCTGATAGTGATGGGAAGCTGGGAGAAAACGTGGCAAAGTTTCCTTGAGACACTGATAGCCATATTCCCACACCCAAGAGTCCGCAGCCACATAACTGAAGGTGGAGGGGGGGGGGGAAAGAGAAGAACAATATATGGTTAATGTGCTACAACCTGGGCAGAACATGAAATATAACTTGCAAAGTCATTCTGGTGCATATGTAATATTCAATTTAGCTAACAACAATCAAAACTAATAATAAAACAAAATATAATATTTCAAAACAACAAATATTCTAAACATAATATTATAAAGAAAGACAAATGCAACTGACAAAACAAAGACATTAAAGAAAACCTGTAAAAACAAATGCCACCTAAGCAACGTCTTTCTCATACAGTGAAATATTAGTAAAGAGACCAGAGAATTCTATAATTTGGGGTGGCCACAGAAAACTCCCTTTCTCTAGCTCCCATCAATATTGCCTCAACCATAGCTGGATATTAGGAAAAAAATCCATCATTAGATCTTAAGATATGGATATGCTGGTATGGGGGAAGATATTTGTATGACTACAAATTGCAGTTTCAACTACAATTCCCTGTTTCCTCCTATATCCTCACAGATATTCCTTCAATTACCCCAAATTTATGCTACCTAGTTTTTAAAATATATTTTCTATTATGCTAAATCATAAAAATACAAGAAAAAATATTAAAGCACACATGTGGAGAAAACAGACTGAAATGAAAAGCTAAAAACAAATTATCCAAATTTTTAAAAAGGGGAGGTGGGCAAGGAATGAAGGAACAATAATTGTTTCATTTTTTAAAACCCCACTGTTATCTAGGCATAAGCTTTGATGAAAGGTAACCAAATACCCATGAGCAGTTGCTCTCTATATGCCATATGTTCAAATTCTGAAAGAGATATAAGGTCCTCAGTCGACTAATTAATGGAGGATGGGTATTTGTTCTTCCAGTGTTATAATATTAACCTTTAGCACAATACCAAGCAAAAGGTTGCAGAAAATCCATCTATACAATTCTAAACAAAAATGCTGTACAAAACATTTATATCTACAAAACTCAAAATTCACCACAAAATTAATATTCATAACAGTCTCTCCCCAGAAAGAGGCTATGAATGGACATAGCCAAAGCATATGTTTAAGATATGTACCAAGTGTATTGTGTTACTAACTATTAGCACATTTTTGTAAAGTCATTGTATGTGCTTAGGGTTTCAATGTTATAATCAATGCTTTGAATTTTTACCTTTAATTGGTAACCAATGCGGACCTTACAGCAGGTGCAATGTAATTTTATAGCGGGTATCCACCAACACTGGATTTATAGACTAACTGTAGTTTCCAGAGACTCTTCAAAGGGAGAGCACATTGCAAGTAATCCTATCTAGATGTCTCCCCATGGCCAGGTGTGACCATCAGGAGTAGCTGAGGTAGCACACCACTCAAAACAAGGCAAAAACCCTTTTAGCTGGGTCCAAAACTGTCCACGAATCAAACCGAAACATGTATCCTCAATGGAACTACTATTCTGTTCTTGCCAGGTTGAATCTAGAGTCTGTCTCTCCTAACCAGAATGATCCAAGTCATGTCTGGATTGAACAATTTATTAGTCCTCAGACACCAATCTGGAATACTGATAGCCTTCCTAGTAACAGATGAAAAGAAGAAATGCAGATCAGATACACTGTGGCGCTAACACCCCTATCCTCAGATTCCTTCTCTCAGTGGTTCCATGTAGATGCTAAATACAGTAATATGAAGACAAATTGAACTGAGGAGAATCCAACACACCACTGCACACAAGATTGAGAAAGAATCCCCTAACATCTGCTCCTGACACTGAATGGAGAACGACTGAAGCCATTATAAACATGTCCATGCTTTTTGCATGCCATGAAGCCTTAAGAAAGTGATACAGCCCATTCAGATTAAAATTATAAAAAATATATAAGAAAAGCAAGAAAAGGAAGACTAAAAGATGTGGTTTATCCAATTCAGGCACACAATGTATCTCCAACAGGAGGAAAATTAGTCACTTGGCAGTGATAGAGGGGATTTCATATGACAAATGGTACATTACCAGCTTTTCATCTGCATGTCCCGGTGAGCTAACTAAAAGAGGGTAAATAATACAGCATCTAAAGTAAAAAGAAAGAAACAAAGAAAGAAGTATACATGCTGAGATTTCAGGTATTCCTTTCTTAAATGCTCAGTAAAGTACTGAACTGTGATAGCATCATGTTCTATAAACTTGGATATTTTTAAGAGACATGAAACAGTAGGGTGAGGTACCATAGTGGGGTATGGGCTGAGAATTCCTCAGCCATACAGGACATGTTCTACTGGCCAATGCATAGAGGTCTTATGTTTTGGTGTCAGCATCCTCTCTGGGTAAGAAGCTAAATAGTTATTGTCACTGAAGCATCAGAATGGATTTTAGGGGACCAGTCACGAATTAGTTTTATGCATGATAGCACAATCCCATACTACAGTATGAAACCATTAACATAAAATATACAAAACTAGTTGTATATTGAGAGTATTAAAGATTTAACCACAGTTTCAGTCCTGGAGCCTATTCTTTGGTTTCCACAAATTCTACACTGTTTTCCAGACACATAGTTGCATGTTCCACTGTTAAGCATCCTCAAAAAATGATGTAAAAATATTCTTGAACTTTCTCACAACAGGATTGTTAATAAAAACCATATAGTGCTGCCATATAACAACATGGTTAGTGACATAACTTTAAAACCTTCTGAGATGGAGAGATACTTTGAGTATAGTGAAAATGAACAAATGCAGCTATGCTAAAGGCAGCAGATTCAAAACTGTATTTATGCTGCTGATTCTGTTTAAGAGTATATTGAAGTGTGAAATACTAACATGCATTAACGTGATCAAAAGTGCAATCTCTGTCTAATGAAATATTCTCCATGATCAGGGAAAAACCATGATTTAGCACATTGTAAACTTTATAGTTATCACTACAATCTTGGAAAATGTGGCAACAACAGAATTTGTCCCAGATCAGGTCTACTGGTGTTCGTATTGTAACTAGATAATAATAATTAAAAAAACCCCAAAACAACAGATTCAATAACACTTGAACCAAAATATACCCCTCTTTGCTGTGATCATATTTGGCAATCAATCTTGTTCACAATGGACAACACAATCTTGAAGGATCAAAAGCTGCTTTCAGATCAACGAATGTTGGAAATAATGTCTTGCTACTTGGTTCAATATGTTTCTTGGCAAAATGTGCTAATACAGAATTGAATTACTGAATCGAGATCGAGATCTGAGTCAATTGAAGGGGGTAGGAGCACTTGAACTGATCTGAAACAAATTCAGCTCCTTTATGAATTACTGAATTGCTGCCTGGACTGAATTTTGTGAGTGTTTCACACTCTTAATTAAAATATAAGCAAGCTCTAGAGAAATATTTTAAAGTATTAGGAAGAGAAACACAGATGGTACAAGGAATGCCTGAACTGACATATTATACGAACAGTCAAGGATTATAGAGCCTGGAAGGAATTATTAGACAGGATGTGATGGAAGATATAAAATGATAGAAGGCTCAAGACTGAAAGCTGATTTGTCACTCTCTTCTATTTTATTCTATAATAAGAACATGAGTATGTCCGATAATTAGCAGGCAGGAGGGGTAAACCAGATGCACCTTGTGGAGAGATAAGCACACAAATATTTTCCACAAGAGATTATAGTGACAAAGACTGTGGCTGCATGTGTGTCACCTCCATGTAAAGGACACCTGTGGGACACAAGATATGGCCCCTATAGCTGAGCACTGGAGCATAGCTCGGTTTTTCTAATTTTAAATGTTCTATGAGATCTTTAGTTGAAGGGTGGAATAAATATCTTTTAAGTAAACAAAATAATAACATGAGTTGGACAAAACAAAATTGATAGCATTCATAGATATTTCCTTGCATGGATAACAACACTGCAGTTAATGTATTTGAAAGAAATTATAGAGATTAATAACATGGATGTAAAGTTTAGAGATGTCCTTCAATTAATAGTCATCAATGATTAATTTGGCACACTGTCGCATATGAAAAACGGAATAATACACCTGGAGAAAAGAGAAAGTCATACTTAAAAATATAAGCTTCGATAGTCAAATACGCACCCTCCAAAACATGAATGCCAGCCACACCTCCAGCTGGGTGCCTAACTGTCATCTTGCTTGCTGAATGGAATATCCTTACTGGCCCTGAAGGAGGGGGAGCTCTATGCACTGGTCTATGGGCAGGGCCCCCTTTTAAGAACATGAATTGTATGGCGAGTAGAGGTTACTCTCTGCACTTGTAAAAATGCCCCCAGAATGCACGACAGATGTTTATCTAAGCACTCATAACACCAGTATGTTAAGAATCAGACTTAGATTCTACTACTACAAAGACTGAACACGGTGTTAACAAAATCGGTAAGATGTTTCTAAACTAAATGGACAAAAGGCAACACACTTGGGGAAATCTTTCAGGTTAGTAACCATTTGGTTGTAAAGAAAGGGTGCTTGCATGATTACAAGATACGTACATGGACTGAAAAGGAATGTAGGAAGGAATTTGATAGAGAGGTGGTGTAGTAGGAGCTGATGTAGGAGCGGTCAGGTTGGAGAGAACAGAATGGCGTGGGTGTGATTGGCTGTCAGAGAGTCAGGACAGAACACAGCAGCCGAGCATGGAGGTAGGACAATTAAGGGTGGGCAGTTGAAGAGAGGGAGGGATGGGAAGAAGGGCCTGAGGGAAAAATAGCTGTGCCATTTTTACTTCAAGCACTTGAGCTATTTATGTACTTGCTATATCTTCTGTACTTCTCCATACATCTCATTCAAGATATACACCCCAATTTCTTTAAATTGTATAATAACCCGTTCTTGATTTCAAAAGCATTTCAGAAGAGTACTGCTATTTTTCAAGCAGAACCGACATGCATAGTGCCTGGGTACCTCTTCCTACCACAGATACTTAAATTTCATAGCAGGCAGCACCCCTCTTTTACAGCGCGTAGTTGACCAACTACAGCAGTGGTGTAGTTAGCATCCCAGA